GAGCATGCATGCAGTCAGACGTTATTAAATGTTTCACGCTCTATTTTGACTCTGCTACACCTGATTGAGCAGCATGGGGTTTGTGTGCATGATCTGAGGTTTCGAGCAATGCACGACGTAAACTTAAGTCAAAGGCTCAAATACTGTTAAACTCTAATACCTCCAAATCTGTGGATTGCCAATTTACAAATATGGCACAGAGCACCTTATGACAAAAAAATCATGCATGTCAAGTGGCTTTCATTTAATTATCTGGTCATCTGTTATTGTCTACTTGTGTGATATTTTCACCTCAGAAGGTGTCTTTTTTTCCCACCTTCTACTTCTGTTTGTTATTCCTGCCATTTCTTTTCTGTCTACAAATAACATGCCCATAATCTGCTTAAAGCTTTGCATTTAAATTAATTTTACAGGAAGTCGGGTCACTTATTTATTTTTACATAAATCTAATCACAAAACAGCCCAAGGAAAAGAAATGGACCCCTGTTCTACAACAGGAAAAAATAAAATGAACGAAAAGAATCTGTTGCGTTATGTACAGTGTAGGCAGAAATAAAAATAGTGAAATCTGACTGTGGTGGAACAGAATGACAAAATCTGGTAGAGGAAAGCAATGAGTCACATCTTTCTACTTGTGATGCTGTGCATCTTTCTGCTGCGTTGCATTCTTATCTTTTTTAAGGTTGTCAGTGGAGAAACTGGTGCTGCTGCTCTGTCCTCTTTCTGATCCGTAAGGGGTTTATTTCTGAACGGCTGTGTGGTAAAAAGGATTACTCAGCACTTACTCATCTGAGCGAACCTCAACTCCACATTTAGATATAAACTTTAGGCGGTTCAAAATGTTTTTCTTATTCTTACACACATCCTACACAGCCAATCACAGTGATGTGTGTTGGGAGGAGGATTTGATGACATGGTACATCTACTGATGCCTGCTGTGACTAGAGATAATAAAAAAAGCTCAATGCTACTTTAAGATCCTCTCTTAAAGTAGCAGGACAGACACACTCACCTTGAGGTCTCTGCACTGGGACTGCAACCAGTCGTTGATAAAGCCCTGAGGATCCCTGGCAAAACTCAACATGAACTCCCTCTGGGTCTTCAGCTGGTTAATGGTCTCAATGGTTTCATGGATCTGAGAAGAATCAAGCACAAAACAGAAAGCCTGTCATGTTAAAAGACTTGATGTAGCTAACTAAATTAACAGGTGTTTAGTATTCCTCAGATCAAAACGATTACACCAGGGACATCCCTTTATAAATCTTTTATTGCACCATAAATTATACGAGCGGTTTTAAAACCTCTAATTACACTGATATATCTTTCCTATCATTTTCTCTGACACCTATGTAGGCAATAAAGTTACACACACACGCACGCACACACGCACACAAAAACGTGTCACAAAACAAAGGCGGACATCCATCCATCAATCTACACATGTATACACATACATATATGCTTCAATATAATGCTAAACAACTTAACTTGTAATGAATGAATCAATTATACAGGGTTAAAAAAAAAACAAAAAACAACACTAATGTAGTCGACTAAACTAAAAGTAAGAAAACACTGAAAGTCCATATTAAGCACCTAAATCCTGACATTACACTGTCTGTACAAATATAAGAGCCATTTCAAACCATATTACTCGAAAATCAGATTGTATTGTGGTACTCTGGGCCACACAGAATATTGCACATTACACACACACACAATGACAGATTACTTTGCAGATAGTGGCTAATGCTCCTGTCAACAGGCAGAATGTGGTAATACATGTTTCCATTCGAGTGGTAATATGTTGTTTATAGAGCCTGCATACAGCCGTTCCTTTTCTAGATAAAAGAGTTGCAGATCTGTGCTGATTGGTGTGGCAGTTTTCTGTCCTCAAACCCAACATTTAAGAGGTTTACATTAATAAAATATGAATAATTTATTTAACTAACAAGTATTTCTGGTGCCAGCTAGTGAAGCCAGCTACTTTTAATCATCCAGTCACGAGCATCCCTAAAAAAATATGGATATAACCTTGGCCTGTAATTAAAAGGTACTGTAGTCTCTAACCAGCAAAAGTGAACATGCACAGGGTAATCAAAGGGGAAATACCGGTAGTTGCATCAGAGTGCACTCATCAACCGGCTCTCTTTTGGGGATTCAAGCCTCAGATCTCCATTATCTCTGCTATAAAAACAAGACCCCAGATGTGACCCTGGATTCCTTTTGGAATTTAAAAGAGACCAATTTGTCAGGATGGGGAGGTGAGTGACTGCAGGGGGGGGGTCCCTGAGAATCTCTGCCTTTAAAGTGAATCACAACTATCTCAGCTCATAGAAGACTTGCCTTACCTATGAGACCATTATTCTGTTCAATTTTTTTATTCCATGATACAAGGACCTATTTCCGCCTAAGCAGCACTCTTTCAGTGTATAAAAAACAAAAAACATAGACATTAAAATGTGTTTTACTATTCACTGGCTACAAAGCCTGGCTATGTCTTGGCATAGGGAAATATTTCGAAAAGTTTTATTTTGGAAAACCTTAACAGAGGTGCTGGGAAAAAATATGAGCCCCATCTCTGGTTTATAAGAGTCTCAGGCTTTCAAAATGCACTACAAATAGTTCAACAAGGCTAAGCTACAGGCTTTTTCTAATATTAGGCCAGCAGGAACAGGATGTATAACAGCAATCCTCACCAAACCCAAAAGAAAGTAACAAAATGAAAGGCGTCTGTATCCTGTAAACAATCTCTGTTGTTAGATTGTTGAGTTGCTTTAGAACAAAGACTCCACAGAGGGACGTCTTTTTGCTGAATGGCTTTGTGCCTTATCAATGTGATTACAGCCATCCCAGACAAGGTAACGGGCGCTAGCAGGAGGTCAAGAGGACCTGATCGACCTCAAAACGGAGTAAGAAGCCAGTAATACACAGGCAGCAATTTAAGGGAGCAAATATGTGTGAAATTGCCCTCAGCAGGTTCACAAAATGGGAGACAATCAAAATGATAGGTTCAATCAAAGATTGCTTGGCTGGATATATATATATAATATCTATCTATCAATCCATAATATCCATCCATCCATCATATCCATCCATCCATCCATCCATCTCATATCTCCTATCCGATCATTATCCATCTTTATCCATTTGTCCATCCATCTATTATCCATTTTGGTTGAAGTAATGCCACCATTTGAAATGTGTGTGCATGATCCAGGTATAAGGAATAATAGATAGATAGATAGATAGATAGATAGATAGATAGATAGATAGATAGATAGATAGATAGATAGATAGATAGATAGATAGATAAAAAACCAGCACATTCCCAGTTGTTTTAATCTTTTTAAATTTGCAATATCTGCACATTAGAAAAACCTTCTCACTGCTTAGGAAAAAAAAGATCAAAGAAAAAGAAGAAAAAAAAAAAAACTTCTCACACTTCTTTATGAGCGAGTACACTTTTTTCCCTTCACTACAGAAGGAGGTGATTTAGTAGTTAAGTGATCAAAAGGCCACACAAAACTCTAGGAAACAGGAAACACTACTCCCACTCTGAAAACACAGCCCTGTCTAAAACTACCAGGACAAACATAAAACTCAGTAACATCCATAAAAAGAACAGCGAGTGACTGCTGGGTGAGGTATGTACCTTGTTGTCCAGCCCTGCTATTTCCTGCTGGCTGGCTGTGGAGAGAAGGAAGGAGTTCATCTGGGTCTTCAACGTGTCGTCCACCTCCACATCAATGTCATAGCAGGCAGTCTTCTTTTGGTCATTAGGATCCACACTATCAAAACAATACAGTTTACTGTGTACAGTATGTTTTTGTTTTTTTACAGTATGTGATTAAATCACATTAGCAACAAGTGATTAAATTATTCAACAACAGCAGCAATCCAAACCTAAAAAGGGTTAAAATTCTCATAGACAGTCTCATAGCTTTTTGAGCATTTAGTGCTCGCTGCTAATTAAGACAAGAAAAATAACTAGAAGAGAAACAATAACTGAGTCAAAGCATGGATCAGTGGACAAAATTAATCAGAACACTTCAGTCCAACAAAAAAATTAGATTTTTTTCCATTTACTGACATATTGATAATGATTTTTGTAGAATCAAAACATACCTGATCAGATGGTTGATGATGATGGGCTCTGGGGGCATGAGAAGTGCATGCAAGCGCTGTGGGATCTCAGAAAACTTCATTCGCTGAGTCTCAAAGATCTGCAAAATGAAAGTATGAAATAAAGAATGTTTAGATAAACATGCCTTCACTACTCTGAAGCATCCAGCAGAATACACTGGTTTGTTCACGTTAAGAATATGCCTGACAACCACATTTAAATTGCGTTAGAGCTTGATAATGCTTATTATGCACCCTGAAATTCTATCAGTTCAGTAGGAATAAATCTTATAAAATAAAACCTTATAAAATCCTATGTTTATCTTGGTAGAGCAGAAAAAGCACCAAGAGACTGGACAGTGACCCAGATGGAGAGAATGTCTCCATAAAAGGATAGATAGAGAGAGGGGAAGGCGAGCTGTTCAACATCCACAGCAGGATCCAGAAAAACTGTGACACCGGTTGCTCTTTCCAGCTACCAGCTAATGTTCATCACATTTAAGAAATGGAGTGGGCCGCCTTTTGGTGAAAATCAAGTAACAAAATGTACCACTTCGACATGTCCGATGTGTGAAAAAAGCAACTGCGCTCACCTGCTGCAAGTATTTGTCACAGTTGATGAACTCCCGCTCATGTGGGTCCTGGAGTTTGTGGGTCTTCACGTACTGCCACAGGGCCTGAATGATGACGGGTCTGGTCTGGGTGTGGATACCCAACATACGGGCCAATCGGGGGTCCAGCTTGAACTGAGGGGGCTGTGCGGCACACAGAAAGACGAAAAGGTGAGTGAATTCATGAAGAAATGTTTCAAGATCACTCGCTGAGAACAGAGTCTGTTTACCTGGTAATCAAGCATGAGAAGGACGGTGCAACGAACACCCACATCACCTGGCCTCTTCACCTGGAAACCATCGGTCTCCTGGGTTGTCGCAGTCCTATGCCACTGAAGTGATACAAGCAGCATTTAAGGAACAAGTAATTAGTTAAGTCTCCAAGTTAATATTGTTCATTAATATCAGTTGATCTTATTTAAACGCACAGTATTATTCACAACTTCTGATGTTGGAGAAGCAAAACAAGAAAAATAACAAAGGATGCAGTGTCATGAAGTATTGTGAGATCACAGAAGTAGTCTACTTTAAGCGACTTATGCATAAACTATGGTCATGTCCAAGGAAATATATTATTGTGTTGTTTACATTACATTTAGTCACATATATTCACCCTAAATCAGTTCTAATTAAGTAGCTACCATTATCTACCATCAACCTAACTTCACTTCGGAGCAGTTAGTACACTTATACTCGTTGAAACTAAGAATATATTTATAATTCAGTCATTGGTTAGCTCTGTCATGCGTTTGTAACACTCAGTTTAACAGTGTGCTGATACCAGTATTTTAAAACGTATCAGTACAAAAATCTTCCATATTATACTTTAAATTACTCTAAGAACTATAAAAAGATATTCAACAAAAACATGATTAGAAAAGTAATGAACATTGATACTTTCAGATGTGATTAAAAAAACCATCTTACTTCCACAAGGTGATTATCTGGACCATATAGATCTTTGTCCAGCTCGATCACCAAGGACTTGAAGAATGAGGAGAACTTTCTTTTCTGTTTCGTGGCTTCATACTTTGACACGGCTGTCTGCAAACAAATTAAATACCACGTTAAGTAAGCTGCCTGTGATATTAGGCTGAAATATTTTTAATGAAAAATTAAAGATAAAGAAATAACACTGAAGCTGTTTAACAGTCTTAGGTCCGTGTAACCGAACAAGACCATCATAATCTTAATAGTTTGATGGTAATTTTTGACCCTACTGTGGAAAATAAAAACTACTTTTTACTTTATCCCAATACAGCAAACCAGCTAAGCCATACCTAACTGGGCAGCCACAAATAATTACTATAAACTGAACAAATTTGATAAGCTTACATCTTCCAGCAGACGCCCCTCGACACGTAGCTCCCATGATGCAACTGTGCCCTCTCCATCCTCAGCATCAGGCTTTGCTGGGTTGAAGGTGTTGGAGATAAAAATCCTTAGCTTTCTCTTTTGCTGAAAACAATAATAGAAAAGAAACTTTAAATTTGTGTCTCATCAGTTAATCAACACTGACTTTATAGCTACACTGAGTCTGGACCCATTATAGCCATTTTCTGGACTGCATTATTTTCTCCCTTCATACAAGTAAGATATGTATTTATATATATAGAGATCTCTATAAATTGTCTATAAAAATATAATATAGTATAAAAACATATAAATATCTATAAATTATCACTATAAATACTTCAGAGTACACACTGACATTAAACTGGACTCTGTTTAAAAGCACCACTGCTCCGTAGAGGAAGGACGAGGGCAGTCCCTTCTCTGAGGCGGCTGAGGTCTTTTAACATCTGTTGGACAATGCTCAAGATTTTCTACAAGTGGCCAGTGTCATCCCCTATGCTGCTGCATGCTGGCACAGCAGGTTGAGGGTCACAGATGCCAACAGACTGAATAAAAGGAAAACTTGGGATGTAGCTGGACTCTCTAAAGGTTGTGTCGGAAAGGCGGATGTTGTCCAAGATAAGAACAACGCTGGACAATTTCTCCCACCCACTCCATGACGTGCTCACCTTGCTCCATCTAAAGCACAGTATACGCTGCAATAGTTGCACACCCTTAATATCACATCCTCTACAGAGCAAATTAAAGTTAATATGATAAGAAGGGCACTGCAATGTCAACCATATATATTTAATTTTGGGTAATATACTAGGATATTTATGATTAGAGCTATTTTGTTATATTTTGTAACTTTGTAATATTTTGAATGATTTAATTTACTTTACTTAGTTACTGTTTTTACTGTCTTGGAGCAACTGTGACCACATAATTTCCTCTGAAATTAATAAAGTATTCTGATTCTGATAGAGGTCCTTTGTAGAGCCCTTTTATGTCCTCTTCCTTTAAAGACACTGATTTAGAGGTGGCTTTCTTCAGATTAGCTGCTCCTCAAACGGTAGATTTTGGTGTGTGTGTCATATGCTCACATGTGAGGAACATAACAGGGATTATCAGAAGGATTAACAGTAGAGAAAACGTTGAAGCCAAGTATTTAGAGCAGACTGAAACCTGAGCCAAATCAAACATCTAGCTCCATCTGCCTCGTCAGCCACTTGTGGATAAGGTTTTCTTTAATTTACACAAAATATGTGTGTTAACGTCACAATATTCAGAAATCTTTTCCTCAAGTGCTACAACAGTCAATAAAACCATTAGGCAGCGTCATCATCTGAACAAATACAGTGTGGTGCAGAAGATCAAGGGAAAGTAAGCAGCAATCTGTAAAATGTAGACATTTGTTCTGACTAACTCTTCACTGACTGACATCACTCTTAAATGACCAGTTAAAGGTAACATGGAACACCTGTGATGAGCTTGACTGAAATATACCTTAATTGGCCTCTTGAGGGCCTCCTGAATGTCCAGCCTCTTGCGCATGATGGTCTGGTCCAGCTTCCTCTCAAAAGCCAGCAGATCCATGTAAGCCTGAGACTCTGGGACCAGTTCCCTGATCTAGGAGACAAAGGATACTAGTGACTACAGGTGTCTTTAGAATAATCTTTAATAATCACTTATTATTGGCCAGGACTGAGATCACAATTATTGAGTATTAGAACTCAAAATCATTTAAATAGACAGTGGATTCATTAAACTTGTAAAAAGAAATCTTTTTATTCAGGCAGATATCCTTGAACTTTACTGATAGTAAAAGAAACGAAAAAATAGTGAGTGACAATATGTGCTGAAATCAAAAACAAGAATTTGTTTTAACCCTTGGAAGCATCAATCGTAATTGAAATTAAAATCTGTAACCTGTACTTCTTTTTCCATCTGTCAGTCTAAGAAAACCCAGTTTCTCAGTTGTTCATACTCTCCCTGATTCCAGTCTGAATGTGTACGTGTCCACAGGGTCTGTGAGCCACGGGTGACCACATATCTGCTGCCTGCTCTGCTAGCTTTACATGCTGGGTCTATTTCTGCTGAAAATGAATCTCAAGCTTGACAGATCAAGAGAAGGAGAGAGAAATCTCTCTTCAGAAAAACCAAGATATTGCAGCAGACATTTTACTATCACACCACTAACTACATTTAAATAAAGTGCAAGAATAGATCAAATACAACAGCCAGCCTTACTTCCATATGGTGTTCTCTTATGAATGCTACTCTGTTCAGCTGTAAAATATATATGAATAAATGAAAAGGATATCACAAGACTGCAACTTTAAATTATAATATCCTATGAGAAAACAATGTTGATGTGCGATTTAATATAAGATTAAAAGGATATAATAGAACTCTTTTCTTGACAAATTTATGATTGACATCCACACACTGGAGAACACCATGAGTGCCTAAAATTGGGGTTCAACGTAACTAATGACCTGATGGCCCAAGGTTCCAAAAAGAGTGTCTCAGGCAAGCCGACTTGCCAGCTCTGGGCCCATTAGAGTCAGTGACATGTCATCAATCATAGTTATGAGTTCACCTCAAAAGCAAACTGGCTGAAGTGAATCTTCACTAACAACTACTTTTTCCCCCTGCAGTCAGTATATTCACATTAGTGGGATCATATGAGGTCAGTACTATAAATCACGTTATTCTTAGTATCTCTGAAAACCAGCAGAAATGCGAGGGCTTGACGGTGAGCGTTTCACTTGGATTTGTGACTTAAAACAGAAATGTGCTGATTATTAAATGTATCACATGATTCAGGACAAATGGTAAATGGAATGGCTCTTATACAGTGCTTTTCTACTCTCAGTACTCATAGCACTTCATACAACTTGCCTCATTCATATTTTCTATGCTTTTTCTACCTAAGTGCTTTCACACACATTCATCGATGAGCAACTTGAGGTTACAATCTTGCCCCGGGACATTTGACATGCAGAGATCGAACCACCAACCTTCTGATTAGTAGCTGACCTAGTCTACCTCCTGAACTACAACCTCCATTTTCATGATACAAGATAAGTAGATCATTTCTTTATCACAGCTGAAGTTTATGTCCACCCTGCAGCCTATTTTCACATTTCACACACAGGGAGATGAAAGACAGGGAGATCAGGTGGAGTGAGAGAAGAAATACTTCTAGAGTTAATAGCGATTTTGTTCATTACTGTCATCACAAAACCTTTGGAGGTCCCCATTTTGCATTGTACAGTGCTAAAATCTTTAGTAAATTGCCCAAGCACTTATAGTTAGCACTCTCTAAATCCCAGCATTTTAACCAGGGCACTTTAAAGACCAACTGTCCTTTGTTTGGAGCCACTTAAATTAAAGTTCACATGGACTGCCAGATGTAGCATAATCAAAGCTGGAATTAATGGATTGTTCATGCACTGTGGTTTGATTAATACTCACCCTCTGAGGTAGAATTTTATCAGCCATCTTCTTCTTCTTTGTGCTGTGAAAATAAATCATCGAAACAATAGGCGTGTGAGTGCAAGTCAGAGCAGTTTTATGTGTCTTTACAAAAAGACAAGGAAGTCAGTCAAATTCTTCAGTCTGTGGGATACATTTTCCAGGTACCATGTTCATATACACTTGCACACATAGAAAGACACAAAATAATAGTCCCCTAAATACAGGGCTGCAATATTTGTGGAAAAAAAAGCACGGCTGAGTAGGCGGCGAGTGGGGACTTACTGCTGGTTGCGGTTCTGTTGTTGCTGAACCTGCTGAATCTGTTGAGGAGCCGGCCTCTTACGAGACGGATCCATCACACCTGCCATGCCAGGACGGGACACGGGGCTGTTGCCGTATCCTGGAGGGCCCATGGCTGGTCCCTGAGGGGTCATGCGACTGGAAGGAGGCATGCCTGGTCTCTGCATAGAAAATAAGGCCATGATCACACAAAAAGGCCGTTGAAATTTGTAATTCTTTACATGTAGAACGTGTAGAAAAGATACATTTTGCAGATTTTAAACAAGACACCTTAGCCTTTATTTTAAGGTGTGTTAAAAAATAAATCTGTGGACCAACCTTTTTGCCTCTCTCTCCTTATCTTTTCTTCCTTATTTCCATTATTTTTACACTAATATATATCTGTATCTATATATCTCTATATCTCTATCTATCTATCTATATCTATCTATCTATATACCTATATATATATGTGTGTGTGTGTGTGTGTGTGTGTGTGTCTGTCTGTCTGTCTATCGATATCGATAGACAGACACACACACACAGACACACACACACACACACACACACACTCACACACACACACACACACACACACACACACACACAGACACACACACACACACTTTAATCCCCAAGCATAAATTCTGGGAGGTGGTTTGTGTAATAATGTATTTGACTTCAGACTGTGTTGGTATGAGGAAAGAACACAACTTGAAATAAACGATAAAAAAAATAATCTTTTGCTGCAGCCATCAAATGTGTATAAATTGTTCCTGAATAACTTACAAACAGCAATCCTCTCAAAGGTCCCCGATCGACACATAAATGCTCACAACAATCCAACACTTTCCTACAGACCTTGTGGTCCAACATGGCAAATTGTTCTTCAAGTGGCAATTTAACCCCATGACTATCTGTGACTATGTAGCCCTGGCCCCACCCATGCACACCAAAATTGAACGTTTGCAGCTACAGTGGCAGAGACGCAGTTCACGGGTGTAGCAATAAAACAACTCTGAGCCTTGCTTATTAAAAAAAAAGAGGGGAAAAAAAAATCTGTTTCAGGTGAAAATAACATCTGAGCTGTTGTGTAGCTAATTCTCAAAAGTGAAAAGTGCACAAATTAGGATCAATGTTTGTGAAGACTTGAAGACAAAAGCACATCAAAGTTTTCTACCGTTCCATTTCAGTCCTTATTGATCCGAGAATACATTTGTAGTGTTTTAAATAAAATGCAAAACTGACACAGTGGGAAAACGTCAATGTAAATTTGAAAACAAAACATTTGCAGCACATCTGCTGATGTAAATATATTCTAGAAAATTACAAATCCCACAACACACAAAAAACTCAACACTACCACTCTGAGACACAGCCCATACTTTTATATCTGATGCTTCATATTAGCAGTATCAGCAAATTTATGCATGCCTTTCGTTAAAGTAAATAGACAAAAATCACCACAGCCAACTCACCAAACCATGTGCTAAGAACTCAAACAGGCGACTTCTTGTATTTGACTGCATGAATGCAGGCAAGAGCAGCAGATAAGTGACAAATCACTGATAGCAGCTTTTCCTCCAGCAGTCAGTCCAACAAATGTGACAGATGAAGGCAAAACACACTCTCTCTTCATCGCATGGTGAACAGTGAAAGAGAGGAAGAGTGAAGGACATTGACTTCTCAACAATACAGGCCAGATGAATGGGCTCTGCCTTTTCCACAGTGTGGTGTAGGCAGATTGGGGAAACATGCCGATCATTTAGTACTTTTTACACTATACATCAGCGCAACCTTGGCTTGCCTGAGAACAAGTGGAAATCTGCAGTATTCAGAGTATGAAGTCTCTTTTGACTATGGTGTGAAAGGCTGCCAAGGACGTTGGAAGGGAAAAAAATATGTGACAACCATTTACTGAGCTGTCTTTCTGGTTGGTAGTAGCTAAGAAGCAAACACTTCAGCTGTGGATCAGTGATAAATGACTCATCTTTATGTCTTGATTTTAATACAATTCTCTTATCTTAAGACACAACATATTAGCTGGAGATGATTCAATCCAATGCAATATCGGGGGAATAAACCCAGGACTACAGATCAGGATATGAAAATTTATACTCTGATACTAAATATGAATGCAAGAGCATACATGGGATAATAAGACCAAGAAACCAAAGAGTTCTGATCAAATATCATAGTAACGGAGCATGCACGCAGTATATTGCTGGAGCACACAATCAGCTTTAAAGTCCATTCATTTGAAAACATTTAGGATCGGAAGTCCTGATTACTGAAAATGTTTGCTTCTTGGTCATTTTCTTGAGACCCCACTGTGCAGAACGACGTGTTGCAGGATGTGAAAGCAAATGAAAGATTTCCGTTTCTTCAGCCAAAGGGAGCTCACCTTTAAATCTCAGCAGTCACTCATGGACCTTGATTCTGTTACATAAGAACTAGAAGGAGAACTTGGCAGCATCTTCTGCCTTACAGTTAAACTTCTGAAATGATCAGTATCTCCATATTAATATAGTGTGGGATTTCAAGATAGAAAATGAGCTGCTGTCATTTTAACTGCTTAAACATTTTTTCTTTCATTTTCTGTGCATCTGTGAGCTGTGCATCTCTATAGGGAGGTTTTTAAAAATTATATTCTAGGGATTTCCACCCTCGACATACAGAAATATTCGGCAACCTAATCAACATCACCGTCTGGAGTTGAAACAAGTTGGTCTTTATCAAACTATTTTGTGGTTCAGAGTCAGGCAACTGTGAAGGTGCACTTTGCATTCACCTTCACAGTTCCCCATATTCATTCTTGTCCCATTACAGTCAGAGTCGGTGATATTAGCCTCAAAACTATTTTACAATATTTTAGGGAAAATTGCAATTATATTTACAACAATACAGGGGGAAAAAACAACGTTGTATTGGTGACTGTAGCTTGCAAGCAGCAACATTTAATAGTGCAAACAAAGTGAAGGACGTTTTCCAAGCTGCCGTCACTGATACCACTGACTGACATAAGACAGGCTGGTAAATAAATTACAGTATTACCAAGGCAACCAGAGCCTGAAACATCCACTTTAGACCAAATGCAAGCAACACAGCAAATGTGGATGGGATTCTGGAAATGTTTAATCTGACAGGAAGTACACTAAAAATTGTGTTTTTTTTCTTCTCTCCGAGACCAAAACATCAAGTTTCCTAACTAATATAATCAAATGAGTATGAGGACCCACCTATGCAAAAGTGATATAAATCAAAATATTATCACAATATCTTGAAATACACAAATCTTAAAGCAAACAAACAAGATAACTAGTGGCTGAGAGTGAATGCACCACGGTTTTATTGTGTATTCATTGTGACAATTTGTAGAAACTGCCTCCTTTGGACATCTGTTTAATGCTATCTATTTTACTGCATAATTACTCTGAGTATCTCTGCAATTTAGGGGATCATAGACTACTGTTAAATCGTGTTTAATATGTGTGTATCACCTGCAGGTCCGTAAGTACATTTTCGACTATTTCGACAAGTGTTTGCGAGTCAACTTTCCCCTTTCTGAGACAGACAAACAACAAACCAGTTACTGTATATCCAGTTTGTTGATGCTATACTGGCAAATAAGATTACGTTTACCAGTGCTGCTGGTGGACAATGTTAATGTGTTTTCAAATCAATTCTGCACTGTGTAAATGTTAATAGATAGTGTAAATTATTATATTTCAAATGTGAGAAACGACTGCAGATTAATCTTGTAATTATTATTATTATTAATTGTGACCAATCGACTAACCGCTGTAATCTGATTTGAAGATCAGAAAATATCAGCTTATAAGACTCAAAATTAACAACTAAACATCCTTCCAGCAGTTTAGATGTGTAGTGAGTTCATGCTGAGATCCCAGCGTTTCTTGGTACTTGGTGTACTTTGCGGCAGACCAGCCAAGTAACAGTGGGCTCACTAAACATAGACTTTACAAGTTGTAAACACCAACTTCGACGAGACAAACTGCACCAGCTAAACACAGAGTGAAGTCTGCTACTGACTGGCACCTCTCCTTAATCATCGTTTCTGTATGTTGTAAATTTACATTGACACAAACTAATATTGATGCAGCCGATTCATTCAAAACTAGGCTCGACTTATAACAACTTCTGAGTTCAAACCGAGCCTGAACTTCACAAACTACAATTCCTAAAACTTAAGGGATGGTTTAATTGTTAGGTTTACCAACTACACGGTGCACATTTTGGGTCTTTTTGAAACGAAAAATGGTCGAAATACAGTTAACAGTTAGCAGGGTTAGCAGGCTAAGCTAACTGGATGCTGCGATTAGCTAGCTAACCTTAATGTTAGCGGGCGGGAGGGTTAGCAAATTCAAACAACAAACAAACTCTGATGGTCATCCTGAGCGACTGGTGAAATATTTCAAGTACATCACCAATTTTGAACCGGGCTGCTAGTTAGTATGAGCTGTGGCCTACGCTGGTGAAGGGGGTTAATGCTAGCCACTAGGGACAAAGCAAGCGGAGCGAGGCTTTGTTCTAGCGGACTCGCTAACGCGTCAGCAGCAAAGATAGAGCGATATCTTACCGGGTACCCAGGCCCGGGCATCGGTGAGCGGTACATGTGGTTCTGCGCGGCAGCTGATGGTCCCATTCTTCCAGAAGGTGTTCCTGGTCCCATGCCTGGTCCTGCACCCGGTACCGGTGGTCCAGGTCCCATTGCTCCACCACCACCCGTCGGTGCCGACTGAAACCCCCCTCTGGCCGCCATCTCCTCTCTGAATGTCGCCGCCGGTGTAGGCGCGGAGCTACCGCGAGAGCGAGAACGAGTGTTGGGATGGACGTCACAGGTTCAAGACGCCCCCCTCTGTTTGTTGGTGCTACTGCAGCAAAATTAGGGCTGGTGACGATGATGGCGGAATAGGTCCTCGTTAAACGTTCCAAAAGTGCTGTGAATATACTCCATTACAGGAAAAAGTTCTTTAAAAAATACTAGTTATGTAAAAGTTTCTAACTATAAACATAAACATGTGCTTAAGATATTAAGAGTACTCATTTCAGTTGTGCTATTACGCAAAATATTTTTTTTTAAGTTACATCTGTTAGAGTATAATTACTTAAAAAGCAGGATACGATTGACCAGGATATTAGAAATGTTGTAGATGGATAGTTTTTTTGCTACAACATGCTACAATTAATTGATATTTTAGTTAGGTAATGTGGTAATTCATTTTTAATTAATAAATTTAAAATCATCCACAAAGCCATGGGCAGTGCACAAAAGAGGTGAAGATGAGAGTGTAGCGTGTGGAGACAAGTATCAGAGTGATTCGTGACAGAAGGATAGCAGCATGAGCCAATGGGAAAGCTTTTAAAATGGTATTGAGATTTGCTCTGATGTATGGTCTGGAGACTGTTGCAGTCACCGGGGTGGGCAAGTTTTTTAGAAATAAGGATTTAGGGTGGCTGTAGCTCAGGTAGCAGAGTAGGTCAGCCACTAATCAGAAGGTCGGTGGTTCAATCCCAGGTTGCCTCCTGGCTGCATGCCAAATATCCTTGGGCAAGATACTAACCTCCATGTTTGCCTACTGGTGGTGGTCAGAGGGGCTGGTGGCGCCAGTGTCCAGCAGCCTCGCCTCTGTCAGTGCGCCCCAGGGCAGCTGTGGCTACAACGTAGCTTGCCTTTGCCTGTGTGTGTGAATGGGTGGATGACTGAATGTAGTGTAAAGCGCTTTGGGGTCCTTAGGGACTGAGTAAAGCGCTATACAAATGCAGGCCATTTACCCTTTTAGGAGAGACAGCTCAGGTTGAGACAAAGTTAGAGAGCCAAAGCTGTCATATGCAGAGGAAGGATAGTGGACAAATAATGTTAAAGAAGGTGCTGCCAGGCACCTGTTCATCAAGGCCTTGGACTGTTTATGTGCACTCTGCCTGTTTTTTTGACCTCAGCAAGTTAATCTAGATTTTTGACTGACCTCTTTGTGTTTATCTTGTTAGCCTTCCTTGTGTTTTGCTTTGGTACTGACCGTACTAAGCTGCAAGTTTGTTTTACAGTCATGTAAAAGTGAAAGTTTTTACAGGACTAAATACAGACATTAAAAACTAAATGCATCCTGTGACTCGATAGCTTTTAGATCTTTTTGCAGCAATAACTTAACAACATATTGTTGTGGAGAAAACTTGTCTTTAGAATTCTGCTTAAGTTCATTTAGACTTGCAGGCATTCTTTATGCACAGTTCCCACCACAGCATTTCAGTTGGATGTCTAAACTTCGACTAGCCTATTGCAGCAACTTGAGTCTTTTCTTTTTCAGCCATTGTAGATTTGTTGGTGATCCAGTATCATTGTCCTTTTGGACAATGATTTCAACCAAACTTCAGCTGTTGAACAGATGACCTCACATCTGGCTCTAAAACACTTTGGTTCATGGTCGACTCAGTAACTCCACGGCCCGTAAGTTTGTGCTTTGACGGTTGATGTGAGGTGTGTGAGCTGATACCGTGTGTTTGGTTTTTGCCAACGCAGTGTTGTGTATTATGGCCAGACAGCTCCACTTTGAACTTGTATGTCTAAAGGACATTGCTCCAGAAGTCATAATGCTTGGTCAGCCGCAAGTTTGCAATCCTAAGCCATGCTGCTATGTTTTTAGAGAGAAGAAGCGACTGTCTCCTTCCGGTCCTTCCAACCAAAATATAATTTTTCAGTCTTTATCTAGTTACACTGCCATGAAGTAGGAAATATCTGTTGAGTTTAATAAGTATCTCATGTTTTTGTGTTTTTTGAAATTTTCTAAGCACTGCACAATGTGATCTTTGGGTGACTTTGCTGGGATGTCCAATCCTGCGAAGATTGTGGGACAGTGTAAACACACACCTAAATGCTCCAGACCAGCAACCTGCCACAACCTCTGCTTTTATGGAGGTGCTCACAATTGGTGATGATTTGTTGATTATCAATACCTGGCTGCCACTTACCTTTTTAATTCCTGGCTGCTAATATAATTTTAATGGAAACATTAAGCGTGTACTCATTTTTCACAGGAGTGCATAGACTCCTGTGAAAAATGTTCTTTTTCACAGAACTGTACCTGTCTGCCTCTGGCTCTGTAATTTGGCTCTATTTTTCTTTCACCGTAATTATCTCGAGTCCAAAGTGACACTTTAAAAAAAAATTTCCCCTCTAAATTAAAGTGCATATGAAATGATTGATAAATATAGGTGCTTGAAAAGATAAACCTTGTGTACCATTTTTGTACTTTGGCACTTGTTTAAAAGTAATTACTTTAACTTAATTTCACTGAACATGAAGGGAAATCACAGCCTTTTTTAAATTAAAAAAGGTTATAAATGAAATAAAACTAAATCCAAAAACATTGTGTTTGTGTGTTGCTCCCCCATTTTATTCTTTAATTAAACAAGTGCTAACTTGAAGTACGAAGCACAAGAAAAAATAGCATAAGTCAGTATCTGACAAGTAATCTTGAAATGAAAATGAAATGAAGATAATGAAACTGTTAATTAACTAAATTAACAGTGGAGCATTGGCACCTTTTATCATAATCTGATTGCATTTTCTTCTTTCAATCTTTGATAAATTATTGGCAATACGGGCTCAGTGACTATGAAAATTAGCCTTTTGCTTATCTCTCTTTTTTCAGAACTGTAATTAAAATTCATTGTCCCTCTAACCAAATGAATAAACTTAATTATATTCAGCGTCTGATATCTCTCCAGGCTGACTGGTGACTAAAAACCAGTTCTATGGATGCAATGTGCAGCAAACCAAAACAAACAACTCTGTCTGGGTTTATAAAAGTTATACAAAGGTTAACACTGTCTTGTTTGGTATGCCATCCAGTCAATCTGTCTGCCAGGGACTGCAAACTGGATTAAAACCAAACAAAACAGCATGTGAGGCCCTCGTAGAGAGACATTTGGAAGGAATATACTGTCGTGACTGAGTGGTAGCCATTAAAAGGAAATGCTGGATGCTTTCAAAATAATGCAGTAAGTAGTTTTTATTTATTAGTTAACGTCATCATTCATCATGCAAAGGGCAGTAGACTGCAATAAGAGAAGTACTTAGTGTGACCATCCATGTCCTTTAAAAGGAATTTCAAAATGCTTTTCTATGATCTTGGAGAACTTGCTGATGTTCTTTGGTGGTCTCAAGACATATCAAGCTGATACTGCTGTGAAGTTGAAGATGGCTCTTTATCCTTTTGTCCATCATCCTACCAATTTCATTAAATGACTGACGCAAAAAATGAAACATTTTAAGATTTTAACATTTCCTTTTTTGTGCAGAATAACTAATGAAAAATCTAAAACTGTTTTGGTACATCATTACTGGCCTGGAAACAAATCAGTATGGACTATTAATCTTAAAATATTCAAGGACAAGACAGCAATAGTGTCCTTCACCACTGGGCCTCCCAAGTCTGACGTCAGAGTAGTTGACACAAGTGTCGTTGGCTCTGAAGCAGTGTAATGACAGTGGGCCTTTGGGTGAAGCAGGAAACATCTTGGGCTAGGCAGAAAAGAAAAATATGGCACATCACATCATGCCTTTAATGTGGGAGAAAAACAGATGTAATTTTAAGATATTTCTTAGGAAACTATTTTCAAATGTTTTTCAATGTCTTTTTTTGTGGACTAAATTCATCAGGCACAAATGAGTTAGAGTGGCTGGGTTTGAACCTCAGATAAAAGCATTGTGCTTTGAGTTTGTATGTTCTGAGGTCAGATTTTTCCTACCATCAAAAATAAATGAAATCTCTCAGAAATGTGCCCTTCACCAATGCTTTTGGCCCTCTGTGACTTCCCACTGCTCTTAATATGGGGATCAATAAAGATGTTCTGAGTAATGTTGCCAAAAATGGCCTAAAAAGTCCAAGACCAGAAACTCGGGTAGGTTAGATAAGTCTCTATAAAAAAGCCTTTATTTTACAAGGTTTAAGAGATTAAAAATACACCAATGTGTGCCAGCTTACACCTTGTTCAGGTGTAGAGATACAAAGATACAAATCTATCCATATCCTTTTTATCATGAGTGTTAACTATTGAGTGTTAACTATAAGATTACAAATGAATAAAGGGTAAAAAGAGTGACGCATGTGGCGGTAATCACTAGGCTTGACTACAAAGTCTCTAAAAAATAAACAAACATAGCTAAAAAAAGTTGAACACGCAGTCATGTTTGTTTGAATTTTCACTCTCGAACAGAGTTTGAAAAAATCCTGAAAAAACATCAGACACCACATTTTCTTTCATCGTAGGGTTTTATAAATTAGTAAATCGACTCCTTCCTTGTTTATTAGGTGATCTAAATCACAACTGCAGAGACCTCATACTGGATGGTTTTTGAACTGAAACATGACATTCTTTGAATGCATTTTTTAGCATGTTTCATCAAAAGACATGGCCAGTATGAGGCTGCTGTACCTCTGAAGTGGTTTCTGTTTTGACAAGTAAACAACCAGTCAGAACCTTTAACGCACTGGATGTCAGCTGCTGAATCAAACACGTTCTTGTTTCCAGACTTTGATGTTATTGCACTTCCGCCCCAATTAGTATGGAGCTACAACAGTACAAAACATGGCAGCCCATCTGTTTGCATAGCCTGTCTGTGTTTGACTGGAGAGGAGTTGTGTGAGTGCAAACCAGAAAGGAGGGGGGATACATTATGATTTTTTTTGGAACAAGGTGAAGAAAAATCCTCATTTATGGGACTCAGAAGCACCACATTGTGCTTCAAATATTCAAGGGGGTTTTACCTTCTGTGTGGGTAAGATAGCAGCTGATTAGGTTTATCCTTTAGAGGAGAG